CATGGAGAAAAAGGGGGTGGACCTAAGCCACACCGAAGTCAAGACTGTAAATGGAATGATTTTTAATGCCCAGAACCTCCGACGCAATGATATCTACTACACCGAGGGAGGACAGTATGTCACCCTCGAGGAAATTTGTCTCAAACCCGAAGAGGAACGTAGGGAGTTGGTTGACCGATTGGACATCTCCAACAAAAAGCTCAAACGAGCAATGCAAGATTGTGGGGATCTGGAGGGAAATGAGGAACAGGAGGAGGATGACGAGCCTAACCCATCATTGCACCCACGATCGGGAGGGAACCCAAGGGAGCAAAACGAGAGCTCAATCAATGAGCGCATACTCGCACAACTCAACCGGCAAAACCAAATCATAGAGAAAGGGTTCTCATCCTTGATCCGGACGACACGCGCACTAGATCAGAGGGTGGCAGCAATCGAGGCCACCTTGGGCACTCGCGGGGCGTCCAGCTCAGGAGCAGGAAACCGAGGTAGACCCAAACTTTCCTATCACAACACCACCAGAAGTCCAGTCTACTCCAGCTAAGGTCAAAACGCGGGGCCACATTCCTAACCAGGAGGCCAAGATGCGGGATGTCGAGGGGTGAAAGAATGGATTAACACACCGGGCTTCGGGGACGAAGCCCCTTGTAAGGGGGTGAGAGTGTAACACCCCGTGTTACGACCCCTAAAACCAATTAATCATTTAACCAATTGCCCAAAAGAAAGAATTAAATTACAATAATTAATTAGGGAAAAGGCCCACCATGGTCCGTGGGCCCTCACCCCTAAAAACCCAACCCCTAGCCCTAAAAGGAATAGAATTAGCAAGCCTATAATATTAGTTCCTAACTAGGACTCCTAGATATATAAATAGGGGACTTAAGAGACACCTAGAAACCCCTACTACAATAATCCCTCACCACACAAGAAGTTCCAAGAATTCCCCTAGGAGAAATCAAGAAAGAAGAAAGCTTCAAGAAAGACCCTTCATAGACAAGGAATTAATTAAGGCTAAGAGGTAACCCATGTCTCAACAAAACCTATTTTCATAGCTATGATTCCCCTCTTAGGATTTCCCCATATTATTGCGTATCGATGATTTGTGATATTATTATTGATGATTGGTGTGATGATTCCATGGGTGACCTTGATGATGAGAGGTTCTTGATAATTATGGTGTCTTGATGATTATGTGACGTTCTTGATGATTATATGATGTTCTTGATGATTGTAGGATGTTCTTGATGTTTATGTGACATTCTTACCGAATCTTGATATTAGAAGATGAATTGTGTCCTTGTTGAATTAAAAGTGATTAGAACCTTAGGTTGTATCGTATGATATTATTCTTGGTGCATTGGGTGGGAAATCGCATGTTTGGGTGTTAATTATGTTCAGAAAAGCATGATAGGTTATGTGTCGTATGTTCCTCGCTTTGATCCGTTAATTGTCTACGTGTTGTTGTCAGTTGTGTTTAAAAGTGTCTAAGCATGGTTTCGGGTTCCACAAAGGTTCCCGGGGCGTTTTTGGTGATGAAAGAGTCAGTGGGAGGTAGGTGGGGGTAGGGGACCCGCCACCTACCCGCGGCTAAATATGGCGTCGCCGGCAGCAGGCAGCTGCCCGCCGGGCACCCGCTGCCCGAAAAGGCTGCCGCCGGCGGGTGAACCCTCACCCACTGGCTACCCGCTGGAAAAATATCCAATTTGGGATTTTGGCTTCCCCGTTTGATGTTCCCCCGATCCCCGTGGTGTCCCAACGGACTCCGTTTGTCGTGCATATGTCTAGTTTGATATTTCGGGTACCGTTCGTAGGTTGTATGAGTTTTATATATTGCATGCTAGTTGAATTGGTATCCCGTTGACCTAGGTGAAAGAAGTATGAACCCCTTAGGATTGTTCTTAGTATGTGAGGGATCACGCATAGGTTTTGTTATACGTTTTCTCCCCCTTCCCAATGTGTTAATGTGGGTTGCATGTGCTTGCTATGTGTTATGTGTGCATGATACCCCAATTCGGTTGCGATCGGATTGGTTATTCCTGAGCTGCGGTTCAGAAGCTGGCTGCGGTGAGATTTACACTCTTGGGCTGCGGTCCACCGTTTGGTTGCGATCAAACGTTTCTACATGAGCTACGGTTCATATTTCCTGGCTGCGGTCAGATGACATACTCTTGGGCTGCGGTCCACTGTTTGGTTGCGATCAAACTATGATGAGCTGCGGTTCATCGGTCGGTTCCGATCGACCCCTTCGTGTTGCGATACGGGGCAGGGTGCTGCGGGGCCGTGTCAGAGCTATATGCGCTAACCCTCATGTATGGGCATGCGATTGGTCCTGTGGCGCCAACAAAGTGTGCTATGTGACGAAATATGGATGAGTTGTTGTTATGAGTGTCTTGGGGATGTGACTATGGGATTTATACTGGGAATCGTACATGTTGGGTTATGATTATTAATCGTGCTTATGTTAACCTCTCTTGCCTGTTGTAAACTGTATATGCTTGGTATAACTGTTGTCTATGCTTAGCTCTATCTGTCGAGTTTATCCCTGTTTTAAAAGCTAGAGTCTCATAGGATATATCTTCATGCTTCAAAATGGTTTTCATATATCTATATATATGTCTATATGTATTGTATTTCAACGCGTTGGAGTGGGTTACCAGCATCTCTCGCTGAACAGATATATTTGGCTTTCAGGCACAGACGAGTAGATCACTGGAGCGCGCTAGAAGCTTGGGGCGTAGCTTAGATAGTTTTCCCTTTCGGCCTGCGTGCCATGATTTAGTATTAATACTGATTGAGGTTTTAGAATTTAGCCTGTGCACCTGAGTTCTCTAGCTCGGGTGTGGCATAGCACCCCGTACTCTTTGTACCATATTTTGGGATTTAATGAGATTCTATCTTTATTATATAAGTTTTAAAAGTCTTGAAAATCTGGGGTGTAACAACCGTAAGTAAAGAAGCAGAGCAGATGATGATGAAGAAGGAGGTAGGATGAAAAGACGCAAATACCCCTTCTCAAACGGGGCATTTAATAGGAAGAGTGACGAAGGACTAAAATTGTCCTCGTCACAATAAGAGTGTCCACAAATTGTCTAATTTTTTTATGGAGGATCAAAATTGTCCGTGCCACTATAAGTCTAGGACCAAAAATGTCTTTTACTCTAAAAATATTTAATTCATACACCGTTTTCGAAAAATTTTCGGAAGAGTGAAAATGGCTATTTTGAAATTTTATAAAATAGAATTTAGAAAATTATTTTTGGGTTGTCATAGGTAACTACAACCACTTGGTCAAACTCATTTGACCTAATGGTTAGTCCTCCATGGATGGTAGTGCTTCCTCCATTGGCTATAGTGCTAGTCGGACTTCTCATGTTCCCTAGATGGAGAACTGACCCTCGCTGTTAGTATAAGTTATTATTATTATTATTATTATTATTATTATTATTATTATTATTATTATTATTACTATTATTATTGTATCTTTTATATGTTTAATATTATGTGGCTTAGATAGCTTGACTTAGTTTAGCTATTTGATAGGATTAGTTAGAGTTCGATATACTCTGTAATCCTGATGTTACGATCATTAACGAAATTCCTTTTCCAATCTGGTATCAGACTAGGATTTTTCGATCTCTCTAACCTCCACCACAAATCTCCCCCTCCCTTCCCGCACTACAATCGACCATGTCGTCTGGCTCGGATCTAAGCCACATAATATTAAACATATAAAAGAGACAATAATAATAATAATAATAATAATAATAATAATAATAATAATAATAATAATAATAATAATAATAATAATAATAATAACTTATACTAACACTCGCGAATCGGACCGATCCTCGCCTTGCCTGCTAAGGCGTTCTTGTAGGTTCCAAGAATGCTTGTTTTTGTGACTCGATCATTTTTGGCGTATCTTGCGGTTGATTGCGTAAAGGGAAAGTGTAGAACAAGTAGAAACTAGGAACGCATACTTTTCATAGCATCACCACAGACAGCGCCAATGATGGTTTTGTTGGAATCGGGTCCACCATAAATCGGGTATAAGTGTATATAGAATGGGGGTAGAAAATAGTAGCTTTATTACACAGGGCGCTAGGCCATAACAATGTTACCGCTAAGAATCAAACCCTGGTATGCCAGCAGAAGGGAGAAAACTCAAACCAATGAACCAGAAGGGGTTTGGTGAGCCAAGGGATGCCATTCTTGGCCACGCACGTGTCCCCCATTATATTGTTGAAGGACTCATGGATGGGTGACAAATGGACGGCATCAGGCACCCTTCATTCTTGGCCACGCACGTGTTCCCCATTACTTTGCTTCTAGCATACTCCCATACATAAGTGAAGCTTCTTGCCTTTTAATACACAAAATTTTGAGTGGCTTGGTGGTTTAAAACCTATGTTGTTAAGTGGGAGGTTCTGGGCTTGATACCCTCTATACTCTATTGCTCAAATGGACCCACCTAAGTTGCCAAGCTATCCATCCTTTATTATGTTGCATTAGTTAATTGGTTATTAATTTTTTTTTTTTTTCCGTTAGTGATATGTGAGTTAGTCAATTTAAGGGTACCCAATGAAGAAGAAATTCAAGAGGGTTAATAAGATGCATTTTCATTTTTGAAATGAAGACGCAGAGCCTGTTTTGGTGCAGGAGACTCTACTTTGCTAAGAAGATTCCCAAGAGTAAGGACTACTGTGCAGGATAGCAGCTTAATTTGACTGGGTCTTACAAAGATCATATTCCACTTTATATTAAATTAAACTTCAATAGTATAACTAACAGACAATCAATTAATGATATATATTAAAAAAGACTAATTCAAGGTCATGGTCAAGTAAGCGAGCTTGTAGGCTTGTGCATGCACAGGCCGGAGTCTCCCCGAGTCTTTTTCTTAATGGGCCATATATACCACTGCATCAAAGTGTACCTTCTCTGGCTCTAACTCTCTCTATATATATATAACTATACCATATGGACGGCTACATACACAAAAAAGTTGTAATTACTGCTTGAAAACAGATACACATACATTCATGGATTTCAAGAACGTAGTATCTGCTACCAAATCCGTGTCTTGCTCATCTTTCTTTTTGTTCCTCTTCACATTTTATTTAAGCTCATTTCTGGCTCAAGCAGCAAGAAATCCTCCTCCTCCAAAAGAGATTTACCATGTTGTTAACTTGTCTTCACTGCGGCCAAAGCCTTACTGCGAATCCCCCAGAACAGGTGATGTACCCCACACTCACATACATACACACATTGTCTGACCACTTATTTTTTATGTTATCAATATATAAGTGTTTAGAGTTTCTTAATTGAACTCAAGTTTAGAAATCTTGATATGCAAGGTGATCTGATTCCCCTTGGGTGCATCAAGAATATAATGGAGTAGGTAGTATTTTGCATTGTATGTGTTTTACCTTTTTCAGAGCATGCATTTCCAAGGATATATAGGTTTAAATCCTAAACCTGAGCAAGGCCCCTCACCCTGCGAGCGGGATGTGCGTAAGGTTAGATTTCAGTGTTTGCTTTTTGTCCCAAAGCTTAGATCCTCCCCTATTGACGACTTGAACCAGGATATTTACTGGATCACAACACTCACACTAAACTTTTTGAACACTGAGTTATGTCCCGGGACCCAAGTATATATAAGTGTATATATATATATATATATATATATATATATATATATATATATGGTCAGGTTTTTGTGCCGACAGTGCTTCCAGTGCAGTTACACACGATAGCAGAAATGCACCACAAAGGCCCTGCTTGGTAAAAAATTGGCCTATAGGCCAATTTTGACTTATTTGACCACTATTAATTATTTGATTTAGTTAAAATATCAATGTAAATGTTTGGTTAATTAGCTTTTTGCAACTCCAAAAGGCTAAAATTCAAAAGGCTACTCCAAGCAACTTTTTCAATTAGCTTTTTGAGAAAAGAATGAAATTATACCAAAAAGCTATCAACTAACAGCTAATTTACCAAACACTTTTCTACAATCAGCTAATGTTATCAACTATTTATACCTTCTAGTTAACACAATCAGCTAACCGCTATCAGCTAACGGTCATTTTACCCAACAAGGCCAAAGTATTCGAAAATGCACCATTAGGTGTGGTACATTTGTGCATTTCATTCTACTACATTTTCGAACACTGTGTGGTGTATTTACATACCAAATGGTGCAATCCCACTGGCTGCCCGAGAAGCCCTATCCTCATTTCTATGTGTCTGTGTGTGTGTGTGATGTTGAAGTTTTTATGAATTCAGGTTCAGAATTGGGATCTGGAAAGATAAGAATGGCATCTAGAAACGGACCTTGCTCGCCACACAACCCTGCTGCAAAGAAAATGCCCTCTTATGGCCCACTTTTTCAAGCTGAAAATTTAGCCAATAGTGATGGTTCTTCTGCTGGTTACATGGAATACATTGTCACGATTGAACTGGGTACACCCAAAGAAAAATTCACTTTGCTGGTGGACACCGGCAGCGACAACACTTGGGTTGGTTGTAAACCCTGTAACACAGGATGTGGTCCTAATCTCTTCGATCCATCCAAATCATCAACATATGTCAATGATTCATGCAGGCCGTCTACTGATGATCAATTTAACGTCACTTACGGCGATAACTCAAAATCTGAAGGATACTGGGGGTGTGATACACTCACAATTGATAAATCTTATGCCGTCAAGAACTTCCAGTTCGGTTGCGGGCAAGAAATCCAAAACATGGTTGATGATAATAATGATGGGATCCTTGGCCTTGGACGAGGGGATCTGTCTCTGCCATCTCAAGGCGGTACCAACTTCCAAAAGTTCAGCTATTGTCTCCCAAAGTCTAACAGCAAAAAAGGGTATTTATTTTTTGGGAATGAAGCACAAGCAAAGTCTTCATCCTCCAAACCACAATTCACGCCTTTGCTCTCTCCACCGGAGAACCTAGCGGAGAAGTATTTAAAGAAATCATACTATTTTGTAGAGCTTATTGGGATGAGTGTCGCTGGGAAGCGGTTGGATGTTGCTCCTTCAGTTTTCAACTCTCCAGGAACCATTATAGACAGTGGAACTAGCATCACTCAGTTGCCCCAGGAGGTTTACTCTGCATTAACCACAGCTTTCAATCAATCAATGGCATCCAAATATCCTGCTGCAGCATCTAAGGAAATGTCAGAGTTGGACACATGCTATAATGTGGATACTAATAGTAACGTTATCGTGCCAGCCATAACATTGCACTTCAAAGGGATGTCGGGTAAAAGGGAAATTGATGTTGAGTTGAGGCAATCTGGGATTGTCATCCTCCCGGAGTCTGAGCCAAACCTGGTTTGTTTGGGCTTCGCTCAACAAAAGGATGGTGGTCTCGCCATTATTGGCAACCATCAGCAGCGACAAATGACCATGTTTTTCGATTTGCAGGGGAATAGCGTTGGTTTTGGAACCAATAACTGCGCTGAATGAATGAGAAACAAATCATCATGGAAGTTTAATTTTACCCGGCCTGGTAATGGCTGTTAATTGAGTTCAATCTGTCTTCAATTTTGTTGTGTGTTGTGTTACAATACTACGTTGTATGTGCTTGTTTTCAGTGTACTACTAGAACTAGATGAAGTACTATTTGTTTCAAGAAACATTGTTAGTTGAATGTGTAACTCCAGAGTCTAGATCGAGATGCATGATGTTATTATGGTTGATCCATTTTATTACTCTTAACTTTTATATCAATAAGTTTTTGTTTTTTTTTTTTTTTTTTTTTTTAAGTACTACAATCTAACCTAATATGAATAATAATTTTTTTTTAAATACAATATTTGAAGTATTTTGTTATGTATAACATACAACTCCTACAATTTTAGGGTACTTATTACCATCAACATCTCTAGTTTAAAATAGGAAAAATTGTAATTTATGTTCCTCATAAATATGTCAATTATCAATGTCACCTCTAAATTATTAGTGGTGTAAATGTTACCCCTAAATTATATGACAACATTTACGCCACTAATAATTCAATGGTGACATTGATAATTAGTATATTTGCGAGGCATACATTACAATTTTCCTTTTAAAATATTAATTAAAACTTAAACACTAATCACTAATCAACATTTTCATTTTCTTCACTTTTGTGCATCGAATGATTTTTGGTATTAAGTGCATCTAATTAACATCTTTATTGTTTCCTAGTATTTTTAACTGTGCGATGCACGGAATGAATTTGTTGTAATATATTAAGAATATTTGGATCGATATATAATTATTTAAATTAGAACATCAAATATTATATAGTGCAATTAAAGATATATATGGTTAGGTTCGTTTATGTGTTTTGTATCATTGCTTGAATTTGAGCAAATAATTGCTAAAATGAATAGTTAATGTGTAGATTTACGCATGCGTTAGTTGCTGTAACTTTAGAGATTTTATTTATCAAATTTTTAGCATTTTTATAAATTAGACAAACGTGCTAGTTCTCTAGCAACTCAGTTATATGAATGAATCTTTATCCTAATTCATTTGTATAGAAGATATATTTGTTGTTTAGATATATAGCAATTTTGTCATTTTTAAAAAAGATAATATCACCAATTGTATTTACTTTTATTCATAATATAGATTGATTTCATTTTGAAATCATTAGTTCACATATTTGAATTATTTATTTTTCTTTAATTATTCTCATTGTAAACATAAATGATATTGCAATAATTAATTTATGATATTTATCAAATTGTATCTTTTTTAAAATATAAAATTTTCACATGTTTAGGGGTTCAAAAATATTTTAAAATTATTTTTATTTTAAAAATATTTTTAGCAACCTAAACACTTCCTTAGTTTCCATCAAAAACTGATAAAGAAAAATCATTTCATTAAGGAAATTAAAACTAATTAAAATAAATCTAATAATGCTATATTTATTTGTAACTGTATATTAATTTCATTTTGAAATCATTGATTCACATATTTGAATTAGTTATTTTTTCTTTAATTATTCTCATTGTAAACATAAATGATATGACAATAATTAATTTATGACATTTATCAAAATTGTATCTTTTTTTAAATATAAAATTTTCGCATGTTTAGGGGTTAAAAATATTTTAAAATTATTTTCTTTCAGTAAGTATTTTTATTTTTAAAATATTTTTCAGCAACCCAATCATTCTCTTAGTCTCTCATCAAAACCTAATAAAGAAAAGTCATTTCATTAAGGAAATTAAAACTAATTAAAGTAAATATAATCATGTTATATTAATTTGTAACTGTATATTAATTTCATTTTGAAATAAATGGTTCACATATTTGAATTAGTTATTTTTTCTTTAATTATTCTCATTGTAAACATAAATGATGTGACAATAATTAATTTATGACATTTATCAAAATTGTATCTTTTTTCAAATATAAAATTTTCGCATGTTTAGGGGTTAAAAATATTTTAAAATTATTTTCTTTCAGTAAGTATTTTTATTTTTAAAATATTTTTCAGCAACCCAAACACTCTCTTAGTCTCTCATCAAAACCTAATAAAGAAAAGTCATTTCATTCAGAAAATTAAAACTAATTAAAGTAAATATAATCATGCTATATTAATTTGTAACTGTATATTAATTTCATTTTGAAATAAATGGTTCACATATTTGAATTATTTATTTTTTCTTTAATTATTATAAACACAAATGATATTTTACTAATTAATTTATGATATTTATCAAATTGTATTTTTTAAAATATAAGATTTACACATGTTATGAGGGGTTAAAAAAATATTTTAAAATTATTTTTTATTAGAACATATTTTTATTTTTAAAATAATTTCCACCAATTCAAACACTCCTTTAGTCTCCCATTAAAAACAGATAAAGAAAAGTCATTTCATTAAGGAAATTAAAAATAATTAAAATAAATCTAATCATGCTATATTTATTTGTAACCGTATATTAATTTTATTTTAAAATCATTGGTTCACATATTTGAATTATTTATTTTTTCTTTAATTATTATAAACAGAAATGATATTGTACTAATTAATTAATGATATTTATCAAATTATATTTTAAAAAAAATATAAGATTTACACATGTTATGAGAGGTTAAAATAATATTAAATTATTTTTTATTAGTAAGTATTTTTATTTTTAAAATATTTTTCAGTAACCCAAACACTCCCTAAGGGCAAATTATACTGTGGACCGTGGTCTACAATGCATTGTGGTCCAGGCATCAAATATGCACTGTAGTTTCATTTCAACAAAACTACAGTATCATTTTGATATAACTACAGTTTCGATGGACGTTATACACTCAAATATGTGAAATTATTATTCATTTTCATTTTGTATACACTGCAGGATCCGCGCCATGATCGTGGTGGCGGGCCTTGACAAAAATCTGGGATTTCCACGAGGGCCGCCACAATCGTGATCAGAGCCCTGAGGCATAAGTGGCACCGGCCACGATCGTGGCAAGCCATAGTGGCAGAGGGCACGATGAAATTTTAGCGCGGGAATTGTGTTTAGATGTTAGATTTTTTCAGATGTAGAATGGACTTTTAGATATTTTAGATCATTCTTCAGCTTGTACTTTCTCTCTCTAGATATTTTAGCTCTCACAACTCTCTCTAAGCTCAAGAAGGAAGAGGATCTAGGTGGAAGGATTGACAAACCTTGCAATCTAGAGCTTGTTCTTCCATACTTTGATGACTGTAATCCTTTTTTATTAAAGTTTGGTAACAATTTCTTGCTTGATATGATCTTTCAATTCCTTTATTTCAAAATGCTATTCTTCAATTTGAGATTTTTGCAATCGAAGGACTAGTTTCTGGAAATTTTTGACGCGTCGAGCCCACCCTATTTCGAAAAAAAAAACTTACTGGAATTTTTCGACGCGTCGAGCTCAAGACGTCTCGAAAAATTCCTCACTGGAATTTTTCGACGCATCGAGCCTTAAGCTCGACGCGTAGAGACGTCGAATGCCAAACTATTAAAAAACGCGAACAGCTTAGTCTTTCCAAAATTTTCCAACAATCCCTCTCGCAACTCTCTCGCCCTAGACACCCAAGGTCCGATTGCTTCACTTTCTTCTCTCCAATCACTCCCTAAAGCTACAAGGTAACTTCAATACTCTTTTCTACTTTCAATTTCTTGATTTGGAGGTGCTTTTTGCTCTATTTTTGGGTAGGTGCCCTACCCACGAATTTTTCCCCAAATTTTTGAAATTTTGATTGACAGATTGCTTGGTGTTGATTGTTATTGAATGATTGTTGCTATATATGTTGTTATTGCTTAATTATGAACCATTGCACTCAAATTTGAATTTAGTTTACTAAGTTTTATTAGTTTGTTGTTTAAATTCTATTTAGTTTTGTATGAAGAACTTGCTATTGATTATGGGTATCCTTGATTTGTTGTGTGGTGAACTTGTGGGATGAATTTGATATGTCAATTTTGCATAAACCTATTGTTAAAATTCATGCCTACAACGTGTTTGATAAAATGCCTAAACGAGTTTCTTGTCTAATTTTGACTAATTTGGGAATCTTGATTCAATTATTATAGTTTAAATATGTTTGTATCCATGAGGTGTGGTGCATTTTTGGGATGGTTTAGAATTTTCAAATTTCTCATAAATTTACATTGCAATTTTATGCCCACAAGGTGTTTGCTTAAATGCCCAAGTGAATTTTGTGCCTATTATTAAAAAGTTTGGGAACCTTAGACACAATTTTGATATCTTGGCTATGAATGATAGGTCAAGTACTTGAGATTGTTGTTTTAATTTTGTATTTTGTAGGTTCTTCTTATGGCACCCAAATCCCGCCAATCCTCCAAATGGCCAAGGGCCTAATCCTCTCAAGCCCGGGGACAACCACAAAACATGGCACCTCATGAGCGTTTTGTTACCAATGCGGCAGCAGAACGATATCACCAGCTGATGTCCGCGAGGCCGGTCCGGCAAGAAAGGGGTGCGCATATAGCGGTCTCGGTAGCATGGAATTGGGGACCCCGGTTCCTTACTCAACCAGGGGTGGCATTTAGCACCCTAGTTCGAGAGTTCTACGCTAACGTTAAGGATGGCCTCCAGAACAATATCTGCATTGTCCGAGGCACACCGGTGAATTTTTCGGAGGAAGCTATCAATGAGTACTACGGTACCACTAACTATGAGGGCGAAGACTAATTTCACCGCCACATGGCTCGCGGCAACATGGAGTTGGGATGGTTGGACCATATTGCAAAATATTTCCACCCGGGGGCCGAGTGGAACATCAGGGGGGGTGTAGCTTCCCACATGGATTACAAATTCTTCAAGCCGGCTGACCGAGCCATATTGGACTTTATCAAAGCCAAGCTTGTCCCCAATTCTCACAAGGGAAATGTCCAAAAGGACCTGGTGCTCCTTACTTACTGCATCAAGGAGCGCGAGACCATAGACATTGGCCGTATCATTAACGACAACATCCGTGAAGCTGCGGATGCAAAGGGACGAGTATACCTCGGTCACTCCTATCTCATCACTCATCTTTGCCAGCTGGCTGGGGTCCCAATTGATGAGACCCAAGAGGTCCGGTTGGCTCCACAGGCTTTCATATCCGAGCACTACATTGGCACACGCTATAAGCTCGGACAGCAAGCCGAGCAGGATGAGGATGATGAAGAAGATGAAGATGAAGATGAGGGGGGATGAGATTGGCCCCCAGATTGCTGCACCTGCACCTGCACCTGCCTATCCCCATGATTGGCAGGATTTCATGCGGAGATCGGATGAGGTCAATTGGTTCATGGGTACATCCATCCACCAGCAGAATCAGGCTCATCTTGGCTTCCAGCCTAATTTTCCACCACCACCACCATGGCTTCAAGATCCACAGTACATCCCGGAGTTCTATCGGGGGTACTACCCACCACCACCACCTCCGGATACTGATCAGTAGAAGGTCCTATGGCAATACTTCAATTCCTTTTTCCTTCACTTAATTTGTTACATTGGGGACAATGTAATTCTCTAAGTGTGAGGGGGGAAGGATTGAAGTATTTCCCTTCTTTTCCTTTGTCTTTGCATTTTATTTTTATTTAGTCTTGTTTTCGTATTTTATGTCGCATTTTATTTTTATTTAGTCTTGTTTTCGTATTTTATGTTTAATGTTTTAGATTAGTCATTTACATTTTCACCCAAAAATTGTCATTCTTGTTTTCATTGTAAAACTTGTGCTATTTGTGTTGCTTGTTCCCTCCACTTGAATACTTTCTTGAATGACTCATGTGCTTTATTTCTAATGAACTGCTTGTCTTGACACTTAATTGCACTCGCTCTCTCGTGTCGGGTAGTGGTTTGTTTTGGAGGAACTTGCTGCATCTCATTATTTCAAGGATGAAATCAAAGTGTAACACATTAGTAATCTATTTCCCTTGTTAATATCCTTGCCACCCACTCATAACCGGACTAATTTCTTAATCTAGTGGTTAGTGTGTGTGCTAGTGAACGTTTATGTGGAATTCCGGCATTAGTTGGCTTACTAGAGCTTGTCCCATTACTCCTCAGGTTTAGGCTAATTTTTGCATGTATTGAAATGATTTAGGCCATTCTTTGTAACCCACAGCCTTTAAACTTGTCCCTACGAATGTTTTACCCTTTGTGTCTGTAACACCCCCGAATTTCAACAACTTCTAAAACCTAATAAAGCTTATGAAAGAGGTAAAGTCTAATCATTAAGATTAAGCAAAGCGGAAGCTAACTACACAAATCCGGGAGATGTTATGCCACACCTACACAACATTAGGTGCACAGGCAAACACTAACTACTAAGCAGTCTAACTAATGAACTACTTAGGCTCACAGGCATCAACAACTATCAAAGGAAGAGATCTAATCTATCTACATGCCACTAGCGCGCTCCCCAAAGCTACTCAACCTGTAAAAGATAAGGGATAACACCCGGTCAACGAATAATGCTGGTAACCCATCAACACGCGTTAAGTATCATAATATACATAGATATAATCAAAACCATTTTAGACTGGGAATACAGTATATATCATTTTAAAGCCGAGAGAGAGGAAACATCAATAAACTCATCAATCACTCACAACAAAGAACAAAGACCAACATACTCAATAAGACAATAGAACCACAAGCAACAAGCTCAACAATAAGGTACAACGTACGACCCACAATGAAGGATTCACAAAAGACATGCTCTTAAGTAAAGAGAGGCAAGATTCACACTATAACGAGTTCCAAGTCCACATAGGACACAATCACACCAAGTCATATCCGTGGAGTTAGCACCACTACTCGATTCATAGTGGATCAGTGTGGAGAGCTCCAAATCATCAATCATGTTTCACGTAGTCATTGCAACGACCCGGATCACATGCTATAGTGTCATCGCAATGACAAGGACCGCAGCCCAATGGAAACAGAGCTAGCAACTTTAAGTGTATACACCCCCTATTGAGATTCCAAGCTCAACGGGTTAACTACTATCTCTGGCAACTGGAATGAGTTTCCCATGTTGCCCACAAGTCACAAGTAACCAAACGGCAATCCGGAGCTTCACTACCGGTCCGTTCACACATAAGCCCCAATACTGTCCACTTTGCCAGCTCAATCATCTCATCACATCAATCCATCATCTCATCAATAGTCAATACACACGGAATCTAGAGATACAACAACACCTAGATTCCACACAAAGTGTGTACAACAAAGGATAAGCTCAACAATAGCTTAATTAAGGAATAATCAAACACACGGGATCACATCAAGGGATTCAATCAAGGGGCTTCAATGAAGGACATGAAACGATACACGAGTTGCCAATCCTCAATAGAAAGGGACAAACAACACATACTAGCATCAATGACACCAAGACTAGCATGCATATCAAACGGGTAAACCAAAATAGTTCCAATGAACCACAAAGATTCAACATCAATCCAACGAATCAAAAGGTTGGATCATAAGTACGATTCAAGACACCAAATCCTAACATGGATTCCTAACTCATCGTTCTAGACATACGAAACATCAAGAAGACTCACAAAAGCTCAATAATCCAACAATGGGAGGTCAAAACATCAAATACCAAGAAGAAAGGATCACGGGGAACAAATCCCCGCGATCATCAAACATGTTACCCGCGGGTGGGGCCACGGGTAGGCTCCCACCCGTGGTTCCACCCGCGGGTACGTCCTGCTCCCAAAAATCAGCATCCGCGATTTTGCACTTTTAAGACCAAGTTCAAGTCCAAATGACCCCAAATCTTCCACACAATAAAGATATGACTTGAACCTATGAATAGCTCATACAATAGCATTCAAGAACCCTAAATACAAGCTCTAAAAATGCATTATCACAAGATCATGCATCAATCAGTCAAACACATCAAGAATGTCACATAGAAGGCAATAATCATTATTATCAAGTGAAAATAGGTTTTGTGTAGCATGGGTTACCTCTTGTAGACCAAAAACACCTTCTTCAACCTCAAAGCAAGACCAAAGCTCCTCTAGATCAACCTAGCACTTCACCCACCACTAGATCTTCTACAAACTCCCAAAACCCACAAGGTAGAAGAAAGATTTAGAGAAAAGATGGAGGAATCTTGTAAGGAAAATGTAGGGAAGGATAGATCTTACCATTCCTAGCCTTGTAGTGTTGGAAAGTTAGAATCTTGGCTTGGGATTTCTTGAAGAACTTGTGAAGATGAACTCTAGGATTTCCTAGAGAGAAGGAGGAGTAAGGAGCAAGAAAGAGATGTAGAGAGAAGGGAAATCCTGAAAAATGATTTGGATTTCCTTGGTTAGGGTAGGGTTTTAATGCTGCATTGTATGAAATGACCAAAAGGGCCCCTTCCTCCCAAAATTTGTTAGGAGAAAGACAAAGTCTAAGGTACAAGGTCTAAAGCCCAAAGTACAACTCATTGACCAAATTATGAGGATAAGGAATTTGGTAAACTAGGTCCTTCAACTAATTTCAAAGGGAAATTAGGATAAGAATTGTAAAGCCACAAGGAATTAATTAAGTTATTAATTCAGGTTTTATGGAATGAATTTCTGCGGTGTCACATCCTCTCCCCCTAACAATAAGCTTCGTCCCCGAAGCTTGGGCACAATGAGGTTTAACAAAAGGCTAACGGTTTGAACAACATGTGACAAGATTGGTAAAGTATGGCAAACAAGAGGTTTTAAGCACAAAGGTGTGCACCAACTAACCAAAGCTAGAGAAATCAAGGTTTCAAATTAAGGTGATAAGATTGATAGGCTTAGAAATAGGCTAAGGGTTCACAACGGTATGTCAAGAAAGAAAGATAAGGTGATAGATAAAGGTTTACCGGAAGGGCAAGCCTAGGATGTTTTTCTGGTGTTGTGTTCTGCATAAACCTAACTGAGTACATGTGCACACTAGATTTCTCATTACTAATAATCTGGGTGCTTGTATATTGGCTTGGGAATGGACCATGTGTGCCAAGCAGAGATGATTCTGGAAGCATGTGTCTTGCAGTGAGTTGGCTTGTGGTATGCTAAGTTGTGCACGAGAAAGTGGGAGTGATTTTTAGTGTTTTGACCTATGGTTTTGCTTAGTTGTTTTGCTTGAGGACAAGCAAAGTCTTAAGTGTGAGGGGTGATGTTATCACATTTGTGCATGTTTTTATAGCTATTTTGATTCATTTCAGTAACAAAGTTATTTAATCGTGCCTATTTAATACTTGTTTTCCTTACTTTCTCGTTAGATTATGGTTTTACACTTGTTTTGAACGTCTTACGGTGTTTGGTAGTGTTTTTTCACCATTACAGGTTAAGTGTAAAAGCAAGGGGAGATTTTCAAGCACGAATGGATCAAAAAGATGAAGAAGTCGAAGCATAAGAGCCTCGACACGTCGAGCCAGCTTCTCGACGCGTCGAGAATTTTCAGTAGCAATAGTTCGTGCTGGATCACAGGCTCAACGCGTTGAGCATATTCTCGACGCATCGAGAGTGTGGATTTCTGAATTTTTGGAACCTTCCTAAATTAATTCCTTTGGGTTGCCATTATAAAATGATCATCTTCCATCAACCCTAGAGTTCTTCTTTCCCGAGAATCAGGTATTTTGAAGGCAATCAAGAGCAAGAACAAAGAGGACCAATTTGAAGATTTACAATTAGCTTTGGAGTAGAGAACTGGCTAGGAAGATTCAGGAGAATTCTTTCACTCTTTCTCTTATTCCTTTTGTTATTTGTTTATCTTTAAAGATTGTATTGATTGTTATTATGGCCATGAGTGGCTAAAACCCTTAGGGATTTTTGGGTGAATTTGTTTATGAACCTATGTGTCTAGTTCGTTAATTTCTTAATATATTTATGTTTGGTTTTATGATTTGTGTTGCAATCTTGTTTTAACCTGTTGATGTTGGTAATTAAAGGCCTAAATTACTTGCTTCATAGCCATGTTCATGTCATAACGAGAGTTAGGCATAAACTAGGGGCACACACGATTGCACCTAATGGTTGGACCTTGAGAAAGGGGAATTTTATTCTAGATTGTTGCGCATCGAGAGATGGTAGTAATTAGGAATAATTGAATGCGGATCTTCGATCTTATCCGGTGTTTAAGCCACGAGAGTGGAAATTCACTAGGGGTAGAGATTACGAGAGTAATTCTGTTCCACTTTGCATTCCCACACAAGTCTTAATTCCAAAATAAATATTACAAACGTTAATTGGCACTAGGTGATTAAACATTGTGATCCCAAAAATCCTGCTTTGCTTTATTGCTTACAAAACCTTGTTAATTTATTTATTCTGCCTTTTATTTTCTACAATTATCCAACCTTCAAGTTTCGTTCAGATTAGTTCCATATGAGTAACCTAGTAGCTAGTGCTTAGTACCCCATCTCCCTGTGGTTTGATAACCCGAATACTCCGAGTATTATTTGTTTGCCCCAAATTACCGCAATCACCATGCCACACAGATATTCGTTCAATTCCAAGTCTTGCTATCTTATCTCTCTAGGTTGGATAGTGCACACTCCCACTTCGAGTTATCGTTTACTCCGGTCCAAGCAAAATAAGAGGTGAACTATCAAACAAGCATGCAACAAAAGTAACTCTATTTGGGTCCTATACAGTCCCTAAGGTGCAAGAGAAGTGATTTTCAAAGATATTCCAAAGATTTAGCTGACTAAGGCATCATAAAACACATTTCCAAAATAATGCAACCGATTATACTCTTTTCTAATCATATGCACTATATAATATTCAACAATTGGTACGCCAAAATTTTTCAAAATTAAAGCACAAAAGTGCGCCCCTTTCCACACTTTAGAACAACATCGTCCTCGATGTTCATTACTGTGGATGCACGGGTGTGAACAAGAGCAGGAAGGTAAAACATGGTTTCCCTTTCCACACTTTAGAAATGTGGTGTGGGATGCTCCTGATTGGTCAACAAACCCAAAAACTAAGCCTAAGGAGGTTGTCCCTTTTCCACACTTTAGCAATTTACAATGGGACTCAAGGGACAACAAAACATGCAAAAGATTAAGTCTAGCAGTTAGCACAGGAAAATACCTTTCCACAATTTAGAAACAAAAACTGGGGTAAAGATAAAGGATTAGAGAAAAGAAACGCCCTTCATTGTAGGAGATTTTCCTCAATCTTTGACATTAAGAGTCTTTGCCCCCAACCTTTCTGTGGACAGCACAGATTGGCAATTAAAGCGTTAGTGGCAAAGGTTCCAAACAGCTAGATAAAAAGTGTGTAAGGATGGCGCAGCATCCCTACTGTTTCCTGTTAATCAGAATAGCTGGACATTCAGCTAGATAGGTACAAAAGATAGGTAAGAGAGTTCAGTACTTATTCAGAAAGACAGCATAAAAGCAGACTAAACAAAAGTGCAGATAAAGATAGAATAAAGCAGTTAAACAAAGTGCACAAAGAAATAAAGAAAAGTAAAGTCGGCACCCCACGCATAGGGTACCTAAAGTTTTTTAAAACAACTCTGAGAACCAAAGTCTAGAAATCCCGTGAGTCTACTAAGTTCGAGCTTTTATTCCCAACGGAGGCGTCTACTTTCTTCTATTCGGATCAGTTCGAATTTTGCGAACTGTCCGTATCCTGCTCATGATTTGGGGAAGGCTCATTCACGGGTCCGGGTCATCCCTGTAGAGCATTGCTCACTGTGTTGATTGTTTCCATATGCATCTGATAGACAAAGGCTCATAAAGACGCCCAATCTGACACTTGAGGGAATCTGTCTGGAACTTCTGGCAATGGAGGACCGGTCCTATCTATGGCTGGTGTGCTCATGTGAAGAGCCCGGGGTGCAGGTCTGTGTGGCATTGGTCTTGCGTCGTGCACTATTCTGGGTACCAGTCGGATGCCCATCATAACCACCTCAGTAATCGGCATCGGGGTAACCCTGCCTAAAACAACATCCTTGAAAAGCTCATTCTCCAATTCCATGCCCCAGCATAGTCGGGTCAAAAGCGGCCCTATGAATATCACATCCATTTGTCGCGCAACCTGATCTTGTATCCATCTTTTGCAAATTCTCCCCATATTGACCATTGTAACCGAGTCCATGCTCTAAAGGTAAAACAGCTCATCTTTGGTTATCTTATTCCTTTCAAAATCTGCTTTCCCTAAGTTGTGACTTAGCAGTCGCCTCACTATCCTTAGATTTTTACTCGCAAGATGACGGCAATATGCATCTTCTACTTGTTGAATTTCAACTGTGTTGTTATGCAAGTTGAGATATGACCTAGCTTCCTCGTCTGATGAGAACTCATCTAAGATCCCGTCCTGTTCCCATAATCCAATACACTCTGCGAGCATGTTTACTGAGATGTGGTAGTCATTTCCAAATAAAGCGAAATGAATAGATATTCTATTTCATTTTCGTGTTCTTCAAATTCCAGTGAAGAGATGAACTCAAATATAGCAGGTCCATATGTATCTCCCCTCTAGCTGAACACCTCAACCCATTGTGGGAAGCTCATCAACCTTCCCACTGGCAAAGAAAAGAAAGAATCTTTATTAGTCAAAAGAAATATACTACTGAACTTTTAAAGAAATTTCAGATGCATGACTCAAATTAAATCCTATTAGAACTCCTGTTGAAACAGGAACCAAATTGATGGAAGGTGATGGTCGAGAAATTGATACAACATACTTCAACAAAAATTGTTGAAAGTCTCAAGTATCTTACATGCATCAGACCCGATATTAGTTATGTTGTGGGACTAGTTAGCATATTTATGGAATCCCCTCAACAATCACATTTGCAAGTGGTGAAGATGATCATGCGCTACATCTAAAGGAACTTATGACTACGGATTATTCTACTCATCATCCGAGGAAAATGATCTTGTTGGTTATTCTGATAGTGATTGGGGTAGAGACTTGGAGGAAAGAAAGAGTAACAGTGGTTACTATTTTATACTTGAAAAATAATGTGTTCATGATCTTCAAAGAGACAATCAATTGTTGCATTATCAACATGTGAAGCGAAGTATATTGCAACTGTATCAAGTGCATGTTAGGCAATTTGGCTTAGCAACATAATAAGCCAACTTGGGTTTTAGAAGCAATGTCCAATCAAAATCTATGTGGACAACATATCAACTATTAATTTAGCTAAAAGTCTTGTATTTCACAAAAGGAGTAAACACATAGACATACGGTATCATTACTTGAGAGTTCAAGTTAACAAGGGAGTGATTAAGTTGGAGTACTACAACAATGAAAATCAAACTACAGACATTCTCATGAAACCAGTGAAGTTTGAAACCTACATCAAGCTAAGCAGGGACGGAGCCACTATGGGGGCAGTGGGGTAGCTGCCCCGGCCCCCCGCCCCCACCCCACCCCATCTTTATATATATATATATATATATATATATATATATATATATATATATATATATATATATATATATATATATATATATATATATATATATATATATATCCTTTATACATACATACATACATACATACATACACACGCACGCACGCATACATGCACGCATATAGCATTAAATGTTATATAAAATATATATTTATGTTCAAATTGTTAATAGTTTGAATTGCTTAGTTGGTTGAATTTCAAATTTGATGTTAAAAACCATATGTATATGTATTTAAGAAGTTCAAATCTCATTTGCAACACTTTTTCTTATCTCCTCTCGCTTATTTTATCTCTTTCATTTCTTCACAACATAAATTAATTACTTTTTAAGTCTACGTTTTATGAATCATTTAATTAAATGATCTTTTACTCTACTTTTTATTAATCATTTAAGTATTATAGTATACAACTTTATATTATACTTCATTGTATTCGAAGTAATTTAGAAAAACTTAAAGTAGTTGATCTAACTAAACGAAATTAAAATTTAAAAGTATTTATGAATATAGTTTTATTCAAATTATTTTATCTAATTAATTATATTTCATATTTGTCATAAATATTTTCACATTTTCACCCTACTCAAGTATATTTTTGGCTCCGACCTTAACTACATCATGTAATCATATAAAAAAATTGTATTGTAATTTATAATGTATTTTGTATTTTAACCTTATTATGGTTGTTTGATATTTTGTCATTGATTTCTAACGTCATCTAAGCTTCATTCCTTCTGAGATGATTTTCTGAATTCGTCCTTGAAACTAAGGAATCAACTTAGACGGGAGACCCTCCCAAATAAGAATTAAGAGGGATGTGGGACCATCATATAATTCTACTTTATTTATGTTTAATAACTTTATTGTTAGAATTTATTTCTCGTTGAGCTTCGGTATGTTGAAAAAGTATATTTGAACATATACTACATGTAACAGGTTGAATAGTATTCAAAATAATAATAATAATAATAATAATAATAATAATAATAATAATAATAATAATAACTTTATTGTTAGAATTAATCTTGTATTTAGAGTTAAAATCCTATTTTATAGGATCCTACTTTTTAGTTGTCTCAAAACCCTATATAAAGGCTAGCTTTACAAGCTTTATAATGAGAGAAGACATCGTGTTTCATCATAATCATCTGCAATAATATTTCTTCAACTCTTTTCTTTTTTGTCATTGCTATGCAATATGAGTTTCAACACGTACACGTCTTTTTCTGCAATCATATACCTCAATTATTGTACATGGCGGAGGTGGAGTAATATGAGAAAGATTTTATGCTGAGTGTTAACATTCATTATAGCCTCCCTCTTAAAATAGTGGTGTAGTGGCTGAATTTGACAAGTGTTGCTGCAAGCGACTGAATGAAGGTTTGGTATGGGGGGGTCAGAGGTGGTAGCTTAAAGTGGTGGGAGTACGTGGATTAACGGAGATGCTGATCTGAGGAGATGTATTTGTTTGGATATGAATATGATGGTGTTGAATATAATGTCCAAAAGATAAAGGTGTTGAGAATTGCGTGATAATTTACTCAGCAATTAAGCAGAGAATGTATGTTACCTGCGTAAAGTGAATGAATTGAAATCTCTCCATCTCTTACATAATCCCTTTTTGTTTTGTCTTCTTCTCCAGGTGGGAAAACGAACAATTCCTTTCCTCTTTGTTCGTGGCTGGCAATATAATGGTGTAATACTGATTTCTCCTCCTCATCCTCTGCAGACCACATGAATTGATCCGACTAGCTACTTTAATTTGGAAATCAATCAGAATCAAGAACCATTACCGAATCAACTGATGAGTACGACTCCAGGAACAACACCAATCTGTATAAATTAATCAATGGTAGTTTGCATTTTTGAAAAGCTAAAGAATTTATGAGAATCAAAAACGTTGCGCAAATATTTTAACTTGAAAGAGTGGGAATATGGGAGAGTGGGATAAGGATTCCTCCATAACAATGGAGACTCCTTATCATCTTTGCACTCGATTCTATTCTGTTGTTTCTTTTTGTTTCTATCCAATCGAATCTAATCTTTAATTTGCTGTTATCAGCATAATAATATATTATTGTAAGGTTAGAAAAATCAGCAAGAGAATAATTGGATGCTCAAAATAAATAAATAAATTTTTACTTGAGTTTTAACCTAATTCATTGGAGAATTTTCAATGAAAATGTTTTTTCAATAATTTTTCTTTTTGAATTTATTTACTGAAAATAAATAAATAGTTTGGGAAAAGGGGAAAATACTTAAATACACACACATAAAAAATGGAGAGAAAATCTCAATTCTGAAAGAAATTAAAAGCGGGAAATATATTATATTTATAGAGAGAGAAGAAAAAACCTAGACAAAGCACAGTAAATCTGTAATTCTATTCCCTCCTCTTGCAGAGCTTCACCGGGGAGAGAGAGAGAGAGAGATGGGGGTTTCGAAAGAGCAGGTTGAATCGTCGCTTACGGCTAAGCTCACTCCTTCTCATCTCGTAAGTTATCTCCTTTTGCTTCCTGGTTTATACCATATCTCTGTGTAATTCATATGTGATTGTATTTACCCCTTGATGATAATCACTTATAACCAATACAAACACATTGAATTTCTTTTCCGTGTATTATAAATGATTTTAGTTCAATTACAGTCTAAGTTCTCGCTAATAGGGTGATGAATTCTTGTAACTGAGGTTGAATTTCGCAGATTTTAAGGTGTTTAGGAGTTCCAAGTGTTATATGTGTAGCTTAATTCTATTTCTGATCAAAGGGGAGAAAATTTATGAAGTTGATGCCTTCAATTTTCCGGCTTAGCTCAACCCCCTTGATTATAGGATATCATCTTGAACAATATCTTCCAGAATCTCATCACTCACCATACCCTTCCCCTTCGGAATTCTGGCTTAGGTGTTAGCTAGTAGTTGATATTTGCTGAACCACTTCATGCAAGTATACATATTCTTACCTGCCTTTTCAGTAAGCATATGTGCTACTTTGCTATCTCGTTTAAACTGCTCCTTTGAAACTTGATGGTTTCTAAATTTCCATAGAAGCACCAGACTTTCCTCCCTGTTTGTGAGCATAAACAGAAACAAAATACGACACCTCTGTCCTGTGTTATTAGAATATTAACAAAATACTCATCAGTGGGCTGATTTCTCCAATTTTATCTTTACAGTCTGCATGGCTCCCCCAAAGGGTAGATGTATACCTGACAAACCCCACAAGAAACTAGCCTTTGTTAAGAGGGCTCAGTGTGTGTTTGGTTCATGTGTAGAGCCCATGAATGACAAAATAAAGAATAGTAACTGTTTGTTTGAGTATTTTTTAACTATCAGGAATGAGTTTTTCCATTCCCTACCATTTTCATTTTTGGCCTCTCCTCTCCTCTCCTCTCCTCTCCTTTCCTTAATCAGTAAACTTCAACTTCCGCAAAAAGCAAAAGCTTGCATGAATGGACCATCAACAGTTGCCGTACATCCATCCATCAACCCAACATCCGTCTCATCACTTCATGAATTATGTCTACATCTATATCCAGTCTAGTCTCTACTTATCTTGCTTTCTTCAATGAACACTCCTACAATACACACATTTAGTTCTAGAGAGAGAAAGAGAGATGCAAGATGTACGGTCAGGATACATGAATGGTTTGATTTCTCCTGCTCTCAACACCCTCGTCCTGGTGGGGATGGGAAGGTCATCCCCAATTGGATTTCATTGTGCATCATTAATTCATTATCCACCTTAGCCTCTCAGATTCTGTTTTATGGTCTCAAATAGGATTGATTGTAGCTGTGTTTCATTGGTGTATCAATGGTTTTTAACATTTTTCTAATTTAATTTCTTTTTCAATATGGTGAATGGTTTTGAGTCATCATGGATGTTTCATTTCAACAGTTTTCTGACATTGATTCCCGATACTAGCATTATATCCAAACAACAATTTCAACAATGATTCCTATTTCACTGATAACCTTGTAGCTAGCAGTATAAGCGTGTAACTAACTCTTGACAAAAGGTTTCATGCCTAGTTGTACCCCAAGAAAAAAAAAAAGATTTCCATTCTTGTTTTAATATCAAACAGGTAGGCAACTTTTGCTAAAGTCCATCCCTATTCCTTAATTTCTAATTCCAATTCCATTATTCCAATATCCGTGCTCAAAGCAAACACCTCTCAAATGCCTTTGTTGAAAATAAATTATATAAATAGTTCCCTAGAGATGCTCATTATAATAAAGTAGGCACGTTTTTACAACCTTATTGTATAGATTGTTCATTGTGTTGCCAAGTTTCACTGTTCTATGATTCATTCTTATCTGAAACCAAGTTACGTGAGTAAAAAACTCTCCCACATAAACTAGCATGACATATTCTCTATATTTGGATCAGTTTAAATAGTGTCTGGCATTATTGTTTCCTTGTATGTACTGTTCTTGGATCCAAAGTAACACAACAAGCCTGCAGAGTTTGCTGTCGTCCATTCCTTTTCACATACATTACAACTTTTTTGAAAATTAAAGGTGGCCAATTGAAAGTTTGGTATGCCTATGTGTAAAGCTAAGGATTATTGTATATGTGCATTCATTTCACAAATTTGCTTGGTAAATAAACTAGCGGGACATATTCTCTATATAAGGGTCAATTAAATAGTGTGTCATTATTGTTTCCTTGTTTTACTGTTACTTGATCCAAAGTAACACAATAAGCTTGCAGACTTTGCTGTTCAATCCTTTTGACATAAATTACAACTTTTTGAAAATTAAAGGTGATGAGTTGAAAGTTTAGGATGCCTATGTGTAAAGCTAGATTATTGTGTGTGCATTTATGTCACAAATTCCCACAATAAAATAGTACTCCCTCTATCCCATTTTACCTGTCATGTTTACTATTCATTGGTCAAACCAATTCTTTCTTCTTTGATTATTTTCTTTAGTATTTTTTTAATTATTTTTAAATTTGATTCTTTTGTGTTTAATAGTACTTTTAACGTAGTTTCTAAATATATAAATTTTATATACAAGTACTAAACATAAGATTATGTAAAATTGAATTAAAAATAACTTCAATCAAACCTAATTAACTGAACTAGACACATAAAATGGTACGGAGGGAGTATACTATAAGCCACTCTTCAGTTGAAAAGAGCACATTAGTAAATGTAGCCTCCAAGTGCCATTGAAATGTAAAAAGTGCAATTATATCTTTCTTTCTTTCCTTGTGAACCTCCTTGGGTTATGAAACTTTATTGATGCAATGATGGTTTTGTTGTTTTCTTTTCAGGAAGTGATCGACACATCTGGAGGGTAAGTGCCTTGCAGCCTGTAAACACATTGAAGGCACTTCTTTCTTTTTCTTATGACCCTGTTTGGTAACATAGTTAGCTTATCAGCTAATTTTGGCTTATTTGACCACTATTAGCTGTTTGACTTGATTAAACATTCAATATAAGTGTTTGATTAATGCTTTCAAAAAAAAAATGTTTGATTAATTAGCTTATTGCTCCAAAATGCTAAAATTCAAAAAGCTGTTAAAAGTAACTTTTCGATAAGCTTTTTGAGAAAGTCATTTTGCATGTAATCAACTATCAACTAACAGCTAATTTATCAAACATCTTTCTACAATCAGCTAATGCTATCAACTAATCAAATCCACTAACCCAATCAGCTAACAGCTATTTACCAAACACCCTCATATTTCGGTTGCTGACATATTGTTCTTGCCATAGATGTGGTGCAAGCTTCAAGGTTGAGATTGTTTCAGCCGAATTTGAAGGCAAAAGATTGCTGGAGAGGCACCGGATTGTTAACGCTGCACTGGCAGAAGAGATGAAAGAAATCCATGCTCTCTCCATAACAAAAGCGCTCACTCCAGAACAGTGGAAACAACAGCAAGATGCAGCTGAGAAGCCTCAAGCAACCACATAAGTCAATTCCTTATACATGTTAAAATATGCTATTTCCATATGGTGTTTGAATAAGAAAAAAAAAACATCTAGAATGGTTCAACTTGTATTATTATTATTATTATTAATGTTTTATGATTATGGATCTGAGTAAAAGTAGTAAACTAAGGCTGCGCAGGCCTGCCAGCTTATTATAAGCTTAATTTCTTTATGCTTATATTATTATTGTTATTCCTTTAATAATTATGAAAGCTTAGGTCAATTATTGAGATCCTTTATGTAGGTGGTGTTACATAGTTGGCAGATTCAGCCTTCTGGGCTGGGCACGTTTAATAAGCATGATTATGGCGGCAGCTGATTCTCTGTTATTTGAGAGAAACAAATCTTTTGGAAATTGATTTGGGATCATATCCCGGGTAATCCTCCTCGATTACTTCTTTTGATTAAATTTGGTTTGATTGAACTCAAAGATTGCCTTTATTCCATTGATACCCATGGTGTCTCATAAAGAGGGGCAAACCTATTTTTTATGTGTATCTTGATATCTCAGTTCTTGAGCTGTGTCTGCTTGTGAATATTTGTTATGGAGAACAGGAAATGTGTTATTTTGGGTTAATTCGTTGTACTAAATTATTATATTAATTAAAGATTGTGACTTCT